TTTATTGGGTCAATTTCCAATAAATTTTTAAGCCTGTGGTTCATAGCCTGTGGTATTGCAAATTTCCAATACCACAGGTTCTGCTCTAGCTATTTCCACTTTGTTTATATGACTCCAAAGTAACACAGTACGGATTTCAATGTATAGCGTGTGTTGCATTTTTGCAACACATGGCATTTAATGTGTTAAAAATAGACCCTTATAAATCTTCCTTAGAATACTGCTCCCTTATGCTGACTGCTGCTCTAAAAATTTTACCAAGATGGCACTCATAAATTGACTGCTCTATCATCCATTGTTCTGTTAACAGGAATCCACCTAATATAAAACATAGAGGAGAAAATCAAGAACACAGAAGAGTGCTCTCTTAAGCAAACTGTTCAATGTATACAATGCTCTGTTAAGTGGACTCAATTGTACTATACTAAAATTTATATCAAATTTTTTTTATATTCATTATTATTGTATTTTTTTTTTATCATTATGCTATTTGTTCTGTATCATATGTAAAATCATTTATACTATTAGATAAATAATTTTCCACATTACAAAAACTCGGATTTAATATTATTTATTAAAAAAGTTTTTTTATGAAAATACCTCCTCTCTTGTCATATCTGCTAAAGGGATTCCATCTATAGTTAGCAATTTTTTCTGTTCTTTTCCCCATTTTTTTCCTTTTTTCTTTTTTGGAGGCTGAAAGAATAAAATTAATGAATAATAAAATATTGTAATTGCTTTGACTTATTAAAATACAGTACAGATTTTTTAAAAAGAAATATAAAATCTAAGGATTATCAAGTTTTATAAGCTAATTTTAAATATTAAACACTCATGTAAAGTGCCAAATATATACAATATATACTTATAATTTTATTTTTAAGTTTATTTAGATGTCATAGTTGTTGGTGATTGTAGTTTGATTATCTTCATACGTTTTGTCTAGGACCAGGAAAGTCCCAGTTTCAGGATGATGGTCTCAGTCTCTTGGCTCATTTATAATTTTGTCTGAGGAAAAGTGCCTTATTATTTATGTAAATTAATTGGGAATACAGAGAAGCAACTTGGTAAAATATTTGGTAATTGGTAAAATATGCCAAATTTAGGGTTTTTTATACCAAAATATTCTCAAATATGCATTTTAGGCTTTATTACCAAAGTATTTATAACTCAGCCCCAGATGCCCATATTAATGAAATAATCGCAGATTTGGAACTTTCAATGCAAGGCCATTGCACAAAAAAAATATGTGAAAACCTAAAAATCCACTTCCTACAGTTATATGTACAGAAGCATACAAAAAAATCTTAAAACTAATTCCTGTATTTGAACATGTCTTTATCTTAAACTTTTTTTTTGAATAATTTGATTGTATATCTGCCAACATTATTTTGTTGTATTTTAATATATTTCTTAGAGCTCAGATGGTGCTCTGAAGTTTTGTGATGTTTTGGTTTCATTTTCTCTGTTTTGTGTTATGTAACCTTTATCTAAAGATTAAAAGGAATACTTTAATAACTTCTGATTTTTATTTTTAACATATTTAATACAAATTTTTAAATGTTAAGTTTAAAATATTTCAAAATAAACATAAAATATATTGATTATTATTTTAATTGTGAAATAATTGATTCTGTCATTGTTACCATCAACATAACTTCTAAATGTACAATTCAAACAAAATCATCATCATTTGTACCTTTTTCTTTGCCTTGTACTGAACAGAGATTTCACATTTTTAAAACAAATAGATTTTTTACACTTTCCTATTACCAACAAAGGTCCAATTGATCTCTCAATTAATTTTCAGACAGTCTAACATTTTGTTTTAATAAGCCTACCCACAAATAAAGATTTATAACAAATGATTATAAAAAAATAAAAGCCACAGGATATTGATAAGTTACTTTTAAAAAAAAATTATATAAATCTACTTCCATTTTACAATAAAATATATTGGCAACACAGTAATTCACAAATAACACAGTATTAGAGATTGCAAATGTTATACATTATGCTACTCATAAAATAAATTTTAATATTAATGTCTACAATTTGCAGTTTGATAATAATCAATTGACTAAATATTAAAATGGTTTCACAAATTTTTTTGTAATATTAGGCATGTAAACTGTCATTTTACATGCCTAATATTATTGAAGTTATTAATATATATTGAAGTTATTTACATATTTTTAAACATCTTTAGTAAATTATTTTATGCAAGTAAGAATTAATATAACTTAATTCTCTTTACTTATAAGAATTAAATTGTCTCCATTCTGTATTTGCTTGAAGAATATTTCCTAAAATTGAAATACACCCTTTGTCAGAAAAGTTCCAGCACAAAGCTTGTAAAAAATATAAAATTGCAATTACCAAGTAATGATCCTAGCTCCTGGCAAAGTAGTCCCCTCAGCTATCTATACACAATTTCCAATGTTTCTGGAGGTCTTGGAAGCAAGCAGAGAAAGCTTCAAATGTGATGCTTGTTAGCTCACTTGTCACAGTCCGTTGGATGTCTGAGATATCTTGACAAAACATCCCTTTCAGTTGCAACCCTTTGTCAGAAAAGTGTGATTTTTCTTGTTTCTGTGAATGAAAAAGCAACTGACATTTCGTCAAGATATCGCAGACATCCGACAGAATGTGACAAATGAGCTAACAAGCATCACACTTGAAGCTTTCTTTGCTTGCTTCCAACACCTCCAGAAACATTGGAAATTGTGTATAGATAGCTGAGGAGACTACTTTGCCAGGAGCATTACTTGGTAATTGCAATTCTCTATTTTTTACGAGCTTCTTCCTAAAACTTTTCTGATAAACAGTGTATGTATATTATGACTGAGTCAAGAAAGTGGTGAAGATATCCTCTCTAAACCTTTAAACTATTTTATTTACAAATACAAAAATAATTTTTCAGGTAATATAATTTCACATAAATTTCCAAGAAAATTTTCAAGACTCATTACCATGGCTTATTATTTTATTGTTATGCATAATGTTGAAATTTATCAATAAAATATGTTTGAAGAATTACAAAAGTTATTGTGGCACATACTATTTCACAATTCTTATTAATGTTTGTTTATCAATAAACAAAAAATAGATTTATGTCTTCTATGCGAGCAAACAAATTTTCGGTTTGAATATCTGGTAATTATTAAGTCATAAGACTATACTATTCTAATTATAATTGTTGTTATACCATAATTATTATTCTAAATGTATAATACTGTAAAAATAGCATAATTTAAGACTATTTTTGTACTACCAGATACACCATAAACAGTGGGGTATAATACCCAAAATGTATATTCTGTTTAATTAAAACTTAATTTTACACCATTTTGAAATTTTTTCTGTACAAGTCCATTATAGAATTTTATGCTCACATAGAAGACGTCAATACAACCAGGACAAGAAGCTTTTATTAAAGAAGACAAATTTAATAACAATCACAAATTAAGCATTACACATAAATCTAATATCCAGCAAGAAACTACAAAACTACATAAAAGCAAACATTTTCAACTGTGTTGAATGATGAATGATGACTATTTAATATGGATGAAAGTGTTTGCTTTTATATAGTTTTGTAGTTTCTTGCTAGATATAGATTTTGTGTGTAATGCTTATTTATGTATACTCAATTTGACTAGTTGAATCACAAATTGTTTCTCAGGAATATTATTAATCTCGTTTTGCTAAATTTGTCTTTACTAAGCATTAATGAATCATATAGCACTCATAAGCATATGTTTAGTTGTTTCGGAAAATCATGATATTTTGGTCAATAATGAGATTCTGTAAATTGAAAATGAATCAATCTTATTAATAGATGGAAGTTCCATTGTGGAACATCATTAACTTCTAAAAGCTATATTTTCTATCTTTATAAGCCTAGTATCTGACAAAAATGACTTATTCTGTCTTCTGATAGAAAAATAAGTCTGTATATTTGACGTTTTGTTACAATGATCTATGTTTTTGGTTAAAGTCCAGATACGTATACCGTCATGCGGCTCATCTCTGATTCCAGCAAACAGTGGGGACGCACGTTCTAACCTAACCTATTCTAATAATTTGGTTGGTAATAATTATGGTAATTTATTAGAATAGGTTAGGTTAGGTTAGGTTAGAACGTGCGTCCCCACTGTTTGCTGGAATCAGAGATGAGCCGCATGACGGTATACGTATCTGGACTTTAACCAAAAACATAGATCATTGTAACAAAACGTCAAATATACAGACTTATTTTTCTATCAGAAGACAGAATAAGTCATTTTTGTCAGATACTAGGCTTATAAAGATAGAAAATATAGCTTTTAGAAGTTAATGATGTTCCACAATGGAACTTCCATCTATTAATAAGATTGATTCATTTTCAATTTACAGAATCTCATTATTGACCAAAATATCATGATTTTCCGAAACAACTAAACATATGCTTATGAGTGCTATATGATTCATTAATGCTTAGTAAAGACAAATTTAGCAAAACGAGATTAATAATANATATCATAACCAGATGTTACATACGCAGTTTAAATGTTGCCGAAAAAGTTAAACAATTCGTTGCTGGATTTTAATTAAATTTCAATAATAAAACTGTAACTGAAATTGAAGTAAGTTAAGAAATAACTGCTCGAAATTGGCGTAAAATGCTCTTAACAGAAATGTACTTAATGTTACATTATTTCACACCTATGCTATCATTAATAATGCATAATTGTATTTCGTTATATAATATACAACAGTGACTATAGTTTACCTGTTTTTTTTTTTTTAATTTTATATTATAAACATTCGGGTCGCGGAACCATTAGAAATATTTTTTAAACTTTGCTCACGTGACCCAATATGTTACCCTAGGTAATTAATGCTATTTTTTTTTTGTATATTTACAGGGTGGTCCAAAAAACATGATAAAAACTATGTGATCCTCACAATTTACATGTTTATTGATAGATGCTAGTTCTGCTAGATTGTTTTTTCAGGTTTGAATAATTTTGAAGATGGAATCCCGGACTCTGGAAGAACGATTATTTAAAGAAAATTTTTGTCTTGCTTTTTCATCCACAAGGGATCACTCTATGGAGTGCCATTTCATCAAAGTGAATTGTTAGTCCATCATTCATAGATGGTACAATTACTTATAAAAATATCATGCATTGCTGGAACAAGACTTTGCATCTGAAACTTATTGTCACAACATGATTCGCCAATGTTGGTTCACACAGGATGGAATTCATCCCCACAGGAGAGTAATGTCTTTTTGTGGCTGAAAACAGCATTCAATGAGTTCACCATTACATTGGATTCCAAAAAATTGTGGAATTTACTGGCCCCATACAACCCAGACCTTAATCTGCACGACTATCCGAAAGATAGTTTATCAGAATGCCCCCAATTCACTTGAGGATCTCAAATTAATCATTACATGAGATTAATGCACTGAATTCTGACATCTATTGTGTACTAACAGAATTTTGGACCTGATTAAAACTAACTATAAATTGCAAATATTCTGAACACCTGCTAATATCACTTCTATCATCACTACATTTGGTTTTGTGTGGTTTTTTGCTGTTGTTTTTGTTTGGTAATCATTTACTTTTTATCATCTTTTTTGGAACACCTTGTATTTAATACCATCTTGGCTGTACTTCAATATTTAAAGATTAGTTAAATACCTTAAACATTTCTAGATATTTATTATATCTATTGTGTGCCTGGTATTTTGCCATAACACAACATGAAAGTGTATATTATGGCAAAATTAATTGCACATGTAACTGAAATAAGTTATTTAAACTTTTCACGTGAGAGAACATTTCAAATTCCACATCTTGATTCATTGATTGTGTGTTCAGTTTGAATTTGAGATGGTAAGCAATATATTATTATAACAGTTTGTTTTCCAAGAGAGAGAAATCACTGTTTTTTAATATTCATAAATCAAACTAAATTTTTATATACAATATATAAACAAAACTATCTAAACATTTTCTTTTGGCATAACAACAAAACATTGCAATTACAACAAAGTTTACTTTTCATAATAAATTCATAACATTTTTTAAATAGATTTTACATTTTAAAAATCTCTGTTAAATAATACAACTTTTTATAATTTTATTGGCCTGTTAAAAGCACAAAAAAATATTCTGAAGTTTTAACAAAAAGGCACTGCTAATATTAAGGGCCTTTTTTGTTAGTTCTAATAAATATTTCACTCTTTTATTGTAGAGAAGTTTTGTGCCTCAATACTGGACAATGAATCATTCAACTATCTCAACAGACACTCAATGGAAGACTTAATAATACAAATAAAAAATATTCATGTGCAAACATTCCAAAATAAACTACTAATTATAATCTTTTTTAGGAACAAAATAATTTAAAATTTCACAAGACAAAAAAATAAAAAATGAATGAAATCACAATTTGTTTTGAGTCTTGCATTACTTATTGATTACAGAAATTTTACATCACATATAATACTTTGTAGTTGAAGATAATGAAGAAATATTGTTCTTTTTTATTTTTCTTCTCAAAATGAGATGAATAATTTTGCAACTTTTTTTTTTATCTAAGAAATATTATTTGTATGATTTTATTTAAATAATTATAATCCAATAGTAAATTATTTATTATTTTATATGTATGTTGGAGAATCTTTTAAACTTGTACCACATGCAGAACAAATTTTAGCATCTTTATCATTTACTAGTGTACATTGTGGACATTCTCTTCCACCACTTACTAAGGGCATACTTTCAGCTCCAGTAAACCTGCTGTGTCCACACATTTCACAGATTTTTTTACCAGATGAATTTAAATATGTGCAAAAGGAACATGACCATTTATTTGAATCCAATTCTTTTTGAGGAACTGAACTAGAATCCAACGTATTTTGCAAGACACTGTTGTTTGGAAGCTCTACTGCAGAAACCACTTTATTATTTCTTGAATTAGGATATTTTTCAGAAATTCCTTTGTATGATACATTTTTTGTATGAGATGTTGAAACACCATCATCATCTTTAGTACTTATAATATCAGTAAATGACAGTTCTGCATCATGAGCAAGATTATCATAGAAACTTGTTCTTTTATTTGTATTATGCATTTTTCGATTATTTACATCAGAATTAATAGAATTATCATCATTAATAATACTTTCAACTGTGTTATGGTTTTCAATTTTTTGCAATTTATCAGAAGGCATTTTCCAAGGTTTAGATAGCTGCTGATAATTATCTAAAGATAGCTGGTGAAAAGCTCCTGCAACACAAGGTGATGCTTGTTTTTCCATTTTTCTATATTTTTCTTTTGCTTCAATGTTTCCTAATTTATCTTTATGAGAATACATTGCTGATTGTTCACAACATGTATAACATTGACACTGCCTAGTATTATTCATAAAAATATCTGGATGAGGCATAAATGAAAAATTAGCATGAGGATGAAAATGAGGCATAAAATCATATGGATTACTATATACGTTTTTGAAAAGTGGTGGTTGACTATAACTCATTCTGGCAGCATTTCTATCAAAATCTGTGAATCCTGAAATGTAATTATTTTCTTGAAAATTTGGTTTCGGAATTGGCATATAAAGATCTAGAGAATCATCTATCCTGTCCATAGATGAATCTCCTATTCTATTAGGGCCTGACCAACTTGACATAGGGCTCCATAAGTCATCAATTTCATCAGATCGTGAACCTTTTCTCCTTACTTGTCGTTGTCTATCCAATTGTAAAGAAACACCTTCACTCCAAGAAGGTGACCTTAAATGAGAAACAGCTGTTCTTTCAGCTTTTTGTTTTGTAGGATGAGAAACACTATCAAACTGACTAGGTGGTAGTGAAGGTGGTGGCGGAATCATATCTGAATGAGAAAGATTTGGCCAAGTATTTGATAAATCAACTAAAATTCCTGTATGTGGCATACTTTGAGAAACATTAAGACTGGACAACGTATAGTCCTTTGAAGCATTTTTTAACTGCTGTCTTTCAAAAGAATGTTTTTCTTCTGCCATTTCTGCTCGTTTTAACTGCTGTAAAATACGAACAGCTTCATCTATTCCACAAACATAATCTTCACGTACTTGATGTACTTCATCCCAAGTACACTTGTAATTTGTAATTTTTTCACATATCTGTATCATAACCTAATGAAAGAAAATAAACATATAATTATATAATACATAAAAAATTATTTAGAAACTTATTTTATTTCAGTAATTTATTAAATTCATTTATATAATTGTAAATATTAAACTGCAAAATATAATATAGAAATAAATAGCATAATGGATTATAAACAAAAGAATAAAGAACATTATGTTGAATTATTTTAAAATAAAAAAGTTATTACAACTTTACATATACAGTATATTTCCATATTAACCTATATGTTAAGTATGTGAGAATCATTATTTTTTTAAAATGTACTTATATTTACAGAGTAATATTTTTCAAAAGTTAAAATATTAGTCTTTCTGGCAACTGGAAAAACTATGTAGTTTTACACTGATATATTATAAAAATTATGAATTAATATCAGTGGGAAAAACATATTTCACAATAATATGTTTTTAAAAACAAAGATAATCAGAATTTGTTAAAAATAAGAAAATTTTTGACAAACTCCTTTATCATAGTTTTCACTTTTATTCAAAATCTAACATTTTTAAATCTGAATGTTCTATCTGCAAGACAAAACAAAGGCAAAGAGAAAAATGAAAATTTTCTCCACAGTGTCTATATATTGAGTATTTTATTAACTTACATTAACTAGAATCATCTTTAACTGATAATATATTCAAACACTCATATTCAGAGATCTCCACATTATAAAAAAAATTGTATTAACAACATTAATGACTTTACCTGGCATTCCACATATGCAATTAAACAATCAAGTGCAACTTGAGTTACATGATCAGGATCAATAGGACCATCAAAAAAGAGGACTTCATTATGTTTTTCATATCCCAATAAAATAAAAATTGATTCTGCATTAAGTAATTGTGTGTCAACAGTGTGCTTAAAATATCCACTGTATAACTGTAAATAAAAATTTTTTTTATAAATGAAGCAATAATTAAAAGATAAAGATAATGTATTATAATTTGAAATCATGTATGCTAATTTTATGTACAAAATAAAATTAAATAAAAAAGAAATAGTCATATACAATTAGAACAAAATAAATTTTAAATTCAGAAAATATATTTGCCTTTTTTCCATAGAGTTAATTTAGAACTATTTTAATTATAAAAGTAACATTTTTAAAATAGTTTCCAAAACAATATAAGTAGACTGCAAGATGCAGACTTTCAGATTTCATATGAAATTTATAACTCATAGGAACATTGTGCAAAATCAGCTACCCATCATTAACAATTAAAATTAACATGTGCTAGGATAAATGATTAGCAAAAACAATTATATTATTTCTATCATATAACAAAAAGAATCAATTACTATAACAGAAATTAGAAAAAATATGATTCTAAATTATTATTATTTATAATAATAACTTAGAATTAAGAAATATTGATAAGATTTAAAAAATATTTTTATTTATCTATTTTCGAACCATTTTATGATTATCCTTACAGATTAAACAGTAAATGTTACTAAACAAAAGCAACAAGCTTTTAATGTTAATGTTTTAAAAAATATAAAATTTTAAAAAGATTTAAAACAATTTTGAACTATTTTGCAATTTTCTGTTCTGTTATATTCTTGTAATAATAAACCACACACACCTGATTTGTATTTGCCGAGTTATTTTCTTTATTCATTCAAACGTTTTCGGCCAATTTGTATAGGCCATATTCAAGTTTTAATGTTGTTCGTTCCAATGGAACCAATAGTTTGAAATTCATTTGAATTTGAACTTTTTACAATGTATGTGTATAAATAAATATTTAAGAATAATATCAAAAACTTGTTGCAACTTAACAGTAACATGAAAAACGTAAATTAAAATAAATATATGATAAAATATAATCTTAAATGTAATCAAATTCAAATGAATTTCGAACTATTGGTTCCATTGGAACGAACAACATTAAAACCTGAAGATGTCCTATACAAATTGGCCGAAAACATTTGAATGAATAAAGAAAATAACTTGGCAAATACAAATCAGGTGTGTGTGGTTTATTATTAAATAGATAGTATTGCTGAGAAGGTAGATGGATAGTTATATTCTTGGTTAAATATTTTCAAGGGAGTAGATATTCTAATGGATATTTATACATGTTTATACATAATACTGTATTACAATAATATATTTATTGTCAACAAATTTGATGAACATCTTGAGTCCATTTATCATTTAATTATCATCATAGTAATTCATTCTTGTTTTTAATGTTATTGTCTGTTTAACTTTATATTTTGAGTGTTTTTTTTTTACCTTTTTGAACAGTTTTTCTTAAGTTGTTCTGGATGTTTGTGTATTATAAGAATTTTTGATTCCTGACAGATATTTAAAATGAAAATATTTGGATATTTTTGTGCATCTTGAATCTTTCTTTTTATATATGGTAGTTTTCAAATTGTTCTTTGTTCAGATTGTTCAGGTAGTTCTTGAAAATGATTGTATGTAAAAAGAAAAAGTGTAAAATATATAAATATGTAAATTTTCTAATAAAAACTGTAATCAAATTTTATTAAAATTATTATCTTCTAATATCATTTTAGATTCTTTATGCTTAACCCTAGTTTTTTCCATTTTTGCCTGACAATGATAGATTTGTTTTCCTGTAAGTACTAGCGGCTTTTAAGTTAACTTATATTGCATTTGTATATTTTATTTCTTATTTATCTATTGGGATTTTTAATGTATATTATTTTTTCTACTAATGAAATACAATTTTAAAAAAATCACAGACTCTAAATTTAATTTTTTAACATCACCAAAATTATAAAAAAAAATAACATGAAAATAAGCCTAGCCATTGTTTTCTTAATATTCTTATTGTAAATTTCTGTAACATCTAAGTGCACAATTTATGTTTGCATCTAGAAGTAATAAAGAAATCATTTTCATTTTTGTTTAAAATTCTTCAAATATGCATGCTTTTATAAATAAATGTTTTTTACAGGATAAATTACTTTCAGTTTTCGTATTCTATTGCTGCCTCATATAAGATATAAATTTGTTTATAAACTTCTGATAATATTACTAAGAATGATTCCTATCTTAAATTTTTTTCCCTCCATGACATTAGCGATTAAATTAAATATTTGGTAATTCTGAATATATATGTTAGGAATTTTTAGAAAGATGATCAAAAGTTAATAATCAGTATTCTGTCACTGAACTTACTCAGCCGATTGCAGAGAGAGCATTTAGAGGCCGACGGCAGTTTACAGATCGGGTAGGCCGCTGTTCAGAAAAATTTCATTGCAGAGATGGCGTTTCTCGCCTGCCACAATGTAGACAGCGATTAGGAACAAGTTATTTGACCTACTTTCTAGACTCACTCGACAGCGGGCTTTTCAATTTGAGTGATAGCTTTGTTCGTGGAAAAGTTTAGATAAAAATAGACATCGTTCCTTTGATAAATGTTGTAAACGGTACGATTCGACAAAATTATTAATTAATTAATTGCTTGGAGCAAAAATAACAAAATTAAATACTTTAAATTTGTTTTAAATGTTCCAATTCCAATATTCAAATGGGTAAAGACTTAAAACTACAATTAATTTAAATCAGATACATTTATTTACAATTTGAGTATCGTGTCAGTTATAAAACGTTAATGCATTTTGGAGTCATTGTACTGTTAAACAAATGAGACAATTTTAATAATTACAGAAATCTGTTTATAGATATAAAAAAATGTAATATTAATAATAAAATATTTAAAATTATTCATTTCGACAGTAATAAGATGTCGAAATAATTCCTTAAAAATCTATTCCAAATTCAATATAAATTTTCTAAATATGGATTTGTTCATATTTTAAACTGTATTGGCGACAAAATTAAATATCGAAATGGAAAAAGATTGTCATTAATTGCCGAACAATGGTTTTGATGGCTTTTCTGGAAGCTTTCAGAACATAGCTGGCGACCATTTCTGACATCACAAACAAATAACCCGATTGGCCGAACAACTAAAACAGGGGAGTAATAGCGAAGTAAGTAAGAGCCAATATTTTGCCAAAGTTCATTTAGAGAACAGTCAGAAATAGATGATCGTCATCTTTGCAATGCATTTTAAACCGTGGTTCAGCCAGCCAATGTCTATAGGCCGTTCTATAGACCGTTGATAAATGTCGTTTAACGTAAACTCTGTCTCTGCAATTGGCTGACTGAGTTTCAGATCCTTATTTTAAATTATGGTTATTTTCATATCTATTAAACAATATTCATCAAGGTTTTAAGAGACACACCTCTTTTGTTCCAATACAATTACTAATATTGCAGTTAAAAAGTTTCAAGTTTTAGATAAAGCTAGATTCATACCAGGATTCAAGCATACAAATCGCTATAAAGTAGATATGAAGTGGCAGTTTTGAATTTATTTTGTCGGTAGATGAAAATATTTCAACTTTCAATAATAATTCAGCTAACCAATCATCAGCTTTTACTGTCATTTTATCAGATCATCTAAAGACAGGGAACAGAAAAATGGTAAATTCAAGATGGTGGGTAAGGGAGGTTTTTAATATAACTTAATCAAAAAATGAAAAAAAAACTTGTCCTTGATTTGAGTGATTTATGATGGAAGGATATAAAAAAATAAATAAAATTCATATGAGCTATATTGAAAATAATTTCTGATAACCATAAGAATTTTATGATCTTTTATTGGTTAGGGAGGCTGCTTAAACAATCAAATGTTGATTATCAGTAACAAATATAATCTTTTCAATGTTTGACCACTCATCATCTAAATCAGTTTGTATCAGATATTTTAAAATGAATGACATAATATAAATTTATATATGAATTAAACCAGGGATGTCCAACCTGTGGCCCGCATGCGGCCCAATAAATGTGTAAACAAAACCAACAAATTGTTTTATTTTTTTATTTCAACGGCATAAACTCAAAAAAGAAGTTTCACAAAGCCGTAAACTTTATACATATTTTATTTTTGAGTGAAAAGGAAATATTTTCAAATACTTGGAGATGTGTGGATGACGAAGAAATACTAAATAAAGCTGAAGTTGTGACTCAAAGGATTATAGACCCAAATTTGAGAAAAGGAGAGAAAGGCCAAAAGATAAAAAGGAGGTGAGAAAGGTTAAATGTTAATTTAAGGGTATGCAAATATTGACCTTTAATTTTCCAACCTTCCTCACTACTTTTTATCTTTTGGTCTTTCTCTCCTTTTCTCAAATTTGGGTCTATAATCCTTTGAGTTCCAACTCCAGCATTATTTAGTATTCCTTCCAGTGTTGCAATATTTGGCTACTTTGTGCCAAATTTGGCTACCATTTTTTTTAGTTTGGCGTAAAAATTATCATTTGGCTCATTGGCTACTTTCTAGGCTACATATTATTTATAAATATATTAGTCAAATAAAAATGCACTTTAAAATGGTGTTTCGTCGTTTTTTATTAATTAGAGACCCAAATAAAGCAAATATTTGTTTTTTTCAAATAAATTTTTGTTTATCTCCTTCATAACAAATGAATTTATTTATTTCTAAGTAAAAATTGAAAGTGTTTGGAGAAGTAATTTTTTAAAATATCCTTTTTCGTGATAAAGTTTTAATACTTATTACTATAATCTAGACTTGTTAATCCTTAAATATACTTGTATATTTAAGGATTGAGTCACAAATATATTATATATACTTGTGACCCAAAACTCCATGACTTCTTCCAATGTGGCCCAGAGGAACAAAAAGGTTGGACACCCCTGAATTAAACAATGATGCACAAGATATATTTCCTAATTTAATTAGATAATTTCATAAATGGTTAATAAAAGTGTTAAAAGAAATCAGAAATAATTTTTAAGTATTTTCCAGCAATTAGCAAATTACAACACAATCATTGGAATATAAATATTGGCAATATCATATGATCATTCCAATCTATATCAGTAACAATGTGATTTCAATACTTGTATTGTATCACTTGGAACACTGCTATTCACATATTTAATGTAACTCAAGCTGTTTTAGCTAAATACTACTACTGTTTGGGAATTTTTAGTTAAATCTGAATGTTACTAAACACACTTCCGAAGCTTTTATTTTCAATTTATTGAATTAATTAGAAGTTTGAAAAAATTCACCTTAACAATTTTATATTCCTTCCTCCAGGGATGACTTAATAAATTAGTAGCATATTTTTCTAAGGCTTGAAAAGCTGTAGCTCCTTTATAAATACTAAAATTTGGATTTTCTTGAATACTCCGATGTAAAACATCTCCAATTTTTGGACAACTGAACTTTTGGTTATGAGGCACTAAAGACAAAAATTCAGCAATAAGGCCCTCCAAATTACATCTCTGTTCTAATTTTGTAGGTGTTTCTTCTTGATTAAGATACGCCAAATGATTCTGGCATATTCGCTGACGTACTTCTTCACCTCGAGACATCTTCAAGTAGTTAACTTGATGAGACATTACCACGCCTGTAAAATATAATTTAAGAAATTGTAGCTCAATGAAATTAAAATAATTGTTGAAAATACAAAATATTATATAATTTATAAATGAAATAACAACAATTTATAACATATCTTATTCTAAAAAAGCTATTATCTGAGCCATCTTTTGAAAACTATTGCAGAAACTTATGCAAAAAGCTCCAAAAATTGCTTTCTTCCCTATTTTTTTTTTTTTAGTTTAAAGTTTTTCTTAATCATAAAACTTAAATTTAAAACACATCAGATATTATTTTACTTTCTCTTTCACTTCAATTATTGTTTAAAAAAATGAAAAAACTAATTATCATGGTTACAAATCAAATGATATATCTCTAAGGTCTACTCCTTCACAAAGTACTGTCATTAGCACTCAATGATAGTTAATGTGTCAGAAAAAATTTGAAGTTTATTAATTTTAACGTTTCTTTGTCATGCCCTTATCATTGGACTGCTAGACTATCTTTCATAAATGATTGTGTCTTCCTTCAATGACTGGAAAAATTTACTATTATGTACTAGCTTTCCTAAAAAAATTATTGTTAAATTATTTCATCATTTACTTTTCTGGCTGTTATATAATACATAAAGTATGGTGATCAGCCATATTTTAATCCCCTGTTTTTGATTTCTCAGCATTTTAACACTCCAGGAGCCCAAAAATGTAAAAAAAATCCCTTACGATATTTTATTGTGTGTATATGGGGTATCTATTTTGCATTATATCTCAGGATTGGATGAACCAAAATTTTGAAACTTGGCAGAATTATTTCTATATATATGGGCCATAATGCTATTAAATTTTTGTGGTTAAAAGTTCAAGGGAATGGAGAGATAGAGAGATCTTGTGTCATGTCTCAAGTAGGGTCAGACTTAATGAAAATTTTACTCATTATTGACATTTACGATTTTTTAAAACTCATCACTATCCTCAAAATTATGCCTGTTGCATTTTTAAAATAATTAATAAAAATAAAAAATTAATAAATATTTTAAAATAAAATCTCATAATAGAAGACCCACAAACAAGTTTAACTTTGTGCTAATGCCTTAGTGTTTTTTAAACTTAAATATTTTATTTTTAAATATGGATGTAAAAGTAATTTAACAAAATTACATCTTTTCTTATTATTATTTAAATTTTATACCATAGTATAATTGAAAATAATCAGACTTCTTGACCTACTTAACCTCCTGTTTGAGTGTTGGCTAAGTCAAGCAAGAGCTTTGCCAGCTGTTTTTATTCTTAAATAATTAATAAAGTATTAGTTAACCCCAAAAACCCTTATCAATTTATTTTTTCATGTATTTAAACATGGTGTTGGGGTAATGGCCATTAATTTTTAAATACTGTATATTTTGTTTTATAAATTTTGTCCTTAATTAATCACTATCAATCCTGTTACACTTATACAACAACAATATTACTAATAATAAAGGATTCAACTTTAATAATGTTAGAATTGATAAAAACAGAGATGTTCAAAAGGTGGTTTTGAAAAGAGCAGGATTGGAATTCTAGTTTAAACATATGTTCAATTTAGTTGTTTGAATACTGACAATGATATATAAATAATCATAAAAGACATTTTTATCAATCATATCATTATTAAAGTTGTACTCCTTTATTAGTAATAGTGTTGGTATTGTTATTTTATAAAATACTAGTGAAGAATGTCCAGTGTTACCTGGGAACTCAGGGAGACATTTTTGATGAACAAATCCATATTTAGAAAATTTATACCGAATTCGGAAGAGATTTTTAAGGAATTATTTTGACATCTTATTACTGTAAGTGATCACTGACTAAATGGATTAGGAGGCATCATCTACAAATGCAAATACTGCCATTATTCATGAGATTTTGTGCCAAATTTTTGTTTTAATTAGGAGAACAGTACAATAAGGTGGAATTTTCATCTCCCTATTTTGACTGTATACCATATAAACTGCAAAATTTATCATTTACAATTACTTAAACCAAAAACAGATGATGTAATTGTAAATGGTACTTATAAATACAAATCTGACAGTATTTACAGTGCAGTCAAGAATAGGCCTATTTAACTATAAGCACCTGATACAGGCTTTTATTTCAGAATGTCTCAAACATACATAAAGAAGGAATCCTTTATGTATTTAAAATAAAAAAAAAAAACGATTGGATGATTGGATTTTATCTTGTTAGGTATGAAATTATATGTGAAAATACAATTACAGTGGCACCTCGGGATACGAACACCCCAGCATACGAAATTTTCAGGATACGACATGAAATTTGAACATATTTTTGCTCCACGATACGAACAAAAACTCACCATACGACATTACATTAGTTCTCAGTGCCATTTTTTATTCACTTCTGTTCATCGGTCTCAGTCCGCGTGTTTGCTTCGTCGTGGAAGGATCTCGCTCGATAAAGGAAATCTCGAAGTATTATCAGAAAGTGACTGATTTTATTGAAAAGAAACATCCCGGAAAGGTTCACACTGGCCGTATTGCTGGTCAGAGTAATGACATTTGCCTAAGTCATTTTAGAAACATTTTAAAAAGTAGGCAAAGCCAAACCTCTTTGGATAGATATTTTACCAAGCGACCTGTATCCAGTGGAAGTGTTGGTGGAAGTGAAGGAAAGAAAGCAAAAAGCAGTGAATAAAATATTTAAAAAATATATATATAAAACAGAAAAGATAAAAAAATTAGTGTTATAGGCCTATTATTTTTAAGTTATTGTTACATTATGTTATGTAAGTTAAGTTTTAGTATCATTTCCCTTCTCCCTCTCCTCCGCCACTAGTTTACACTTCCATCGTCGTCTCTCCTCAAAGGTAAAGTGCAAATAAAACTACATTTTTTTTTTTATCAATTATTATTCTATTACAGTTATTTATACATTTACAACTACAAAACGCATTTTTTAGTATTTTCCTTACTATAGTTATTATTATTATTTTTTAATTTATTACTTTAGCTTTAATTTGAGTGTGTTTTTTGTGTTGGAACAAATTATTTGGTTTTACATGTAATCGTATGGGGAAAAATGATTCACCTTACGACATTTTCATGATACGATCTGAGTGTCGGAACGGATTAATTTCGTATCCTGAGGTACCACTGTATATGAATCCAGTAATCCTTTTTTTTTCTTTTGTTGTTAATTGTCAATATTCTTCAATCAAGTGTTATTTATTTTTCTTTGGCTGTCAAAAAATACATATATACACAACACTCTTGATGATATTTTAACACGTTCATGGCATTACGAGTCACATGTGACTCGTATGCACATGTCTAGTTAGGGCTACAGACATAATTGCTAGTTTTTCTGTGGGGAGGTGCATATGTTTTGATTACATAATTCTACAAACATTAATAAAATAATATCAATATATTAAGTATGGTTGCAATAAAATATATTAATTTAATAGTAAGAGGTACAGGTGACTCGTGCCTCCCTATATTAAAATAGACTACGAGTCACGGGTGACTCGTAACGTCCAGCAGCTGCCTAAATGTTTATCTACCAACGCCGTGAATGTGTTAAGCAGAGAAATAATGTTTATGAAAAAGTGTTTATGCAACCACAGAATTTTTTACCCCACTTGGGTGTCTCAACCCTATATTTAGGAAAATTGCTGTTCTACACTACACTGTGTTAGTATAATGAGTGCAAAATGATCAAAGGTACAAAATGGATGTGGTAAAATAATCTTATATCATACAGGTATCCTCCATACAACATGATTTTGCTCTGACATGGTTTGAAAATTGGGGATATCCTCAAATAACATGATTAACACGGTTTTGGAAATCCTCTGTACAAAATTTCACAAATTTTAAGTGTAAACTTTGTTATTCAGTATTTTTTTTTATTCAAGCAAGCATGCTTATTGTCCAAAATTTGCCCACAGATTTTAGAATATTGAATTTTTCAATTTGTTTTGTGTCCTTTGTCAGGTTTACTTTAATGAAAACTGATAATACAGCTGGTTGATAGGAAAGCTAGTACAAGGTAGAATTTTTTCTACCTTGTACTAGCTTTCCTATCAACCAGGTGTCATTATTGCTGCTTTCAGACTTTAACCCTTAAGACTGTCATGTTTTATTTTTATAAATTAATCTTTGTATTTAGTAAAGTATATTTAAACATTTTTAGATAAATGCTATTAAAATTTTTTTAACTGCAGGTAAGCAATCATTTCTAAAAATGATGAACAAAATATAGTGGTATCTCAGTACTCGAACTGTTCTCAACTGGAACAATTTGACATTTGAGCACAAATTCTGGGGGGATCACTCGGTGCTCAACTGAACAAATGCAACCTGCTAGAACAAATTATTGATTAATAACATATTTATTTTTTTTTGTCATCCATAGAAAATTATGATAAGATCAACAAAACTCAGCTCAGATTACAATAATACTTTGTAAAAAAAGAAAACACTCTTGTTTAACTATATTAACAGTAATTTTAATTGTGCTTGTTAGTTAATTATCGACTGGAAATGAAGTATTGATTGCTTTAATAAACATATTTCTCTTAGTAATGAAAAAGAATAGTATACTTTTGTTAACTTCTGGAACCTAACCTGTTTTGCATTAGTTCTTTGTTTCATGTAGCACAGATTCGCATGGCAATTTTTCAGAATGTATCTACTGTGTTATACAAGAGATATCTGTATAATAGAATAGATTAAAAATGAGCACTAAATTCTAAACTTTAACCAAATATTTTTAATAGTACAAAACTTACTTTTAAAATTTACTTATTTTAATTATTAAATTTAATATAAAATGGCAGCTTAACCACCTACCTCTAGCCAAATTACTTAATATATTAATTAATTAATTAGCCTTAATGTAGTCTAATGAAGCTGGCTGTTCATTAATTTTCAGAAGTGTCCATTAAGGATGTTTTACTTAAGGAAGGAAGGAATACAAGTTGAAGGAAATTGATCTCTATTAGCATGAGAACTATATACATATA